CAGATTCTTTCGTTTCATGCAAAAACGCGTCGAATGAGCCTAATTTTATCGAAATCGGAGGTGAGGGAGGTATTCTAAATAATTACCATAAATTCTTTGCTTCATAAACACAAATTCCTTCTTTAAAGACACAAATTCACTGCTTTAAAAATATAAATTCACTGCTTTAAAAACACAAATTCACTGTTAATGCAAAGAATTTGTATGCTTAAAACAGTGAATTTATATTTTTAAAGCAGTGAATTTGTGTTTTTAAAGTAGTGAATTTGTGTTTGTGAAGAGAATTTGTTTTTAAAGCAGCGAATTTGTGTAATTAAAACAGAACGTATACATAGTGCTATATTGAGTCGGGATGATAGATATTTTGACTTTTAAAATCTCGAACTTTAACGCTTAAATATCTCGGTTCACGAGGCCGACCGTCGCATTTTTTTTGCCAGATTCTTTCATTTTGAGTGAAAACGCGTCGAATGAGTGTATTTTTATTAAGATTATAGGTGGAGTATGGTATTCTAAATAATTAACAATTATATATATTTTTAAAGCACCATGCCAAGCTGTTACATCAAAAATTGTACGAATCGTGTACGGATAAATGATATAAAATTTTTTAAATTACCGAAAGAACCTGTTGTTCGCCAGCAATGGCTAAAGGCCTGTGGAAAAAACGAAAGAGAATTACCTAAATCTGGTAAATTATTAATTAAAATTTATATTAATATATATATATATTTATTGTCATGTAATTGTATTTTATATTATTTTGACACAGAGACTATAATAAATATACTACAAAATATAAATTTAATCTAAAGAGCCAATAAGTCTCACGAGGTAAAAACACTAGTTTGTTTCAAGTCGATTTACACAAATTCCAATTTAATAAGAAGTAATAAGAAGAAATCTCTAGAATATTATATAAACAATCTTTTAAACATTGGTTATACTTAATATTGACAATTTTGTGATATCATATGCAAATTTAAATAAATTATAATCTCAGAGACAAAAGATTTCAATTAATTGTAATTTAATTTTGATTTTTACGATTAAATGTTTAAAGAGATTAATAGATACATATTCTGGGAACCTTTCTTTAATAAACTAATAACTTAAAAAGAATACTTATATAACAGGAAAGTTAAGTTAAATTTATTAAAAGATTTGGTAAATTATTAGTTTAAAAATCAATTTAAAAGGTCGAAATGTTTGTTCTTATAATGTTAGATTTTGAAACTTATTAAATTTCAATTCATATAAATCAATTTAAAACAAACCAATATTTTAATATCCTGCGAGGCTTATCAGCCCTTTAGATTAAATTTAATTTGTTATTTTTTTAGCCCTTTGTGTGTGCTTGTGGATATAGAATTTTTAAACTATAAAATATATATTTAGCAACGATATGTAGTATTCATTTCGAGGAAGACTGCTTTCGATGGACAAAGCCACAAGATAATATACCACCTAAGCAGATATGGCGATTGAAGGAAAATTCTGTCCCTACAAAATTGTTGAATATGGAAAAGAATAATAAAAGAAAAAATGATAATAAAAGAATAAAAGTGTAAGTATTTTCTTTATACAAAGAAATTTAGAGAAAGAAATATATAATTTGATTGAATAAATTGGGAAAAAATTAATGAGTATTTTTCTATTTTTTAGGGCAGGTGTACCAACCTATGGACAACTTGTGCAACATGCGCGAGAAAAGCAGCATATACTTTCAGACGAAACAATTTGCATGGATACAAATATTTGTAAAGATGAGTCCATTTTATTTCCAGATGTTGCAATAAAAGAAATCACGTATGTAACAATTTAATCTATATTTGTATAATATCTTTCATTACTATCTGGATTATATTAATATGCTTGTCTTTTTTTAAATCATCATTTCTAAAGTAATCTATATTTCTTTATAACTAATTATATAAATATAGGGTAACTCTGACAGATACGCCGCGCTGGGATTTACGCAGCAGAAGTCAGAAAAAATAGGAGCGGAGATAATTTTCTTGCAACTACTTTGTTATATGCCTTTATATTATATTAGTATTGTGTTATGATTTCAATTTCTTTAACATATTAATGAAATTATTGTGAGTTATTGATTTGTCATTAAAATAAACAGCGCCATCATAAATTATAATCTACATAAAATGATTACTGTAGGGCGTGTAAAAGATTTAGTGGTTATTTCGTGATATATAAGTGTAGAGGAATAGTAAAGCATATTGTATAGCAAAATACATGTTTGCTCTTGTATTCTTTGTTTAGTTTGTTGTCTTGTATATCCTATCTGTTTGGGATATACGGCATTTTTAGCGGATGGGATTCCCAAAGTATACAAAGTGCCCAGATTGGATTCAGTGCACAAATACAATAAACGCATTACATGAAATATATACCTCAATAATAACACTTGTAATATATGTAGGAAGATTGTAATTATTTTCTATTACTTCATATACATATTTATCATTCTTATTCCTTAATAATACTTTGTAAACATATTTTATAAGTTATTGTGTCATTTTACGTCTTATTTATAAGCATTATTTTGTGTAAAATTTTTCACGAGCCGTATATAGCCCGTCTCCCCCTATGAGTAGCCGCATATCCCAACCATGGTTGCCAGATCCTGAGCACTGTACAGCTGGGGCCTGAAGGTCCGTGCGCTGGAGATTTCATATTTCGACTGGAGGCCGACTGATTGGTTCATTGAAAAAAAAGAGAAAAAAAGGCGCAGGGTGTTAATTTGTGTTTTGCGACTACTGTTGCAGACTTTCTTTTTGTTATTAATATTTGACCAACATAAAGTGTCAACACAATCACAGAGAGACCTTTTTATTATTATTACAAGATTACATACAGTGCGAACACAATTACAAACTTTTTTATTATTCGTAAAATAACAAACTTCGAACATAATCACAAACTTTTTTATTACTTTCCACGTAATTTAAATATACAATTAATAAATACTCCACGCGAGCGAAAAACTGGAGATTTTGTTTGCTGGAGAACTGGAGATTAGTCCCGAAAACTGGAGTCTCCAGTCGAAATCTGGAGACCAGATTCCAACCCTATGAGATATAAATCGTTATAACACCGACAGTTGTCAGTAGCCGTGTACATACAGAATCCCGGCCGTGGTCAATATCAAGTGGGTTCTACCAAAGGGTAGAACTACATCAACAAATATTATAAAAAAAGGACGTACTAAATACAACAGAAATTAAATCAAATCTTATTGATAATTGAAACTCTTGATTTTCGCAGATAAAACATGGTAACGTTTGCCGCGCGGCGGAAGTTAGCGCAATAGCCAATCATTCTTTCGCTTTTATAGAAAAGCGATAAACTGACTGGCTCTCACACCAATTTCCGCCGCGTGGCAAGCGTTGTCGCGTTCTGTGTGCAGGAGCCATAATGTTGCAATGGTTCTACTTGCAATTATTTAAGTTATTGCAAGTAACGCTTTGGATATCCTCCCAGAATTAACAGAAGTTAATTTAGTGGAAGTTGAAAATGTTCAGCGAACGGTTGTATCGAATGCAAAAGAATAAATATAAAAAAATATTTAAAAAACGCACATGGTTAAATATATTATGCACATTAACAATTGATCATATTTATATTATCTACACACTTGTACATATATTTATAATGCTAATGCATTATCAAAAGCTTAATACACTTCTTGAGATGTATTTATAGAATAAATATTTTAACACATGTCATTAGATATACAAAAAATCTAGACCTCTTTATTTTATAAAGGATTCGTCCCAGGGCGATTATATATTACTTTTTATAAGATTAGTTATTTAAAGATTCTTTTGTAACGGGAAATTTAACGTATTATGGAAAGATGGTATATTACAAATGCCATAATCGTTCGAAGTGTTAGATAACTTTGCCCATTATTTATACTTGTGACAAGTTTTGACAAGTTTTATATATACAGGTTCCTTTCTCACATTATAATCTACACTAGTACTCTGGTTCATGAAAATTAACTTATACACATTCTTATTTCTTAAGAAGTACACTGTACAAAAAATACAAGCCTATTATGTAAAAGACCTCAGGTATTCCTTATTTTGTTCTTTCGAATTCCTCCGAACACTTCAAAAAAATCCCAATGCGTGTCCGCGTTTCATATGCTTGACAAATGTTTGGAAAGTCTAATCTCTATTTCTAATGCTGTTATAAGCAATCACATCATCGATCGCCGAATATACATACATATTTAGTTTATGCAGAAAAATGAAAATATTTATAATTTTTTAATGCGACCAGAGAAATTACTTTTCGCTTATTCTGTACATCTGAGATTTAAATAAACTCATTTGTGTATAGGAAAAGAATTTTTTTCGCCGATGAAAGTAGGTGTCAGATAATTATATATATAAAAATGCTTTATAGACGATATGCTTGGTGAAAGATAGGGAACGTGTGTATCGTTTGTTTGGCAGTTAAAAATATGCAGTCGTTTCCAATTGAACGCAACGGGACAGAAAAGGTTGAAATCTCTGCTGTGCGCTCGACTGCTTCGTAAATTTACCATGAGGTAGCTTGAGACTAACGGGTCATATAAAAGTTAAGTAATTACATTAGTGAAATCTGACTTACTAAACGCAATCGATCCCGAATGGGAGATTCTGATTTTTATATATCTTACCGCGTACCTGCCGGAATACAAAAAATTATTGCAGCAAAATAATCGACTCTAAAATGTGATATATCAGGTAAAAAACATGTTGGCATTATTAAAATATCAATTATAAAATAATGTAATAATTTTCAACATACGCCATATGTATGTACGTGTACTGACAAGGAATGATTCTGAGTTATACTAAAATGTAGCACTCCCATCCGTTAGTGTTTGTAATCGCGATAGGTATGAATCTACGTACTGCCATCATTAATGATGCATATACTCTCCATCTTGCCTTTTTGAGCGACATACTCCTGGCTATTTACAATTTTAACAGAGATTTCTATTCGCGCCGCCAGGTCGTACGTTCCCGCGCTGAGCAGCACAGCATGTAATTTCATGACATTACTTGCATGCGCTTCGATATCGGAATAAATTGATGAATGGCCAGCATACTTGTAGTATGTCGAAGCTTGCGGTGAGTACAGCTGAGACTTAACATTTGGAAGATGAGTTTTGCTGTAAAAGAAAATTGCATATGTATATACACACATGTAAAGAGAAAATAATATAATAAGAATAAAATAGCAAATCGCAATGTTAAGCACGCTAAATAATATTTTATATATATTAAATGGAAGATGTTTCTAAAATTCTAGAAATTATCCTCTAAATATTTTTTTATCAATATCACATAATTAAACTGTTTAACACACATTTATCCCCCAGCGCAAAACTATTTTTTTCATAGACAATGTTCGAAAATCTTTTCAATATTTTTTATCTATTGGTTTATAAATCACACTAGATTTCCAGAACTTTAGAAATATCGCTTGTAAATATTTTATTTCTCTCACCTATTAGTACCTATCGTACTTATTTTAACGTCGACTCGCATCTCCGAATGATTTTGTAAATACATTATTACGGGGATGATGCACAAGCGGCTTTGCCGAAAATCGTGTGTGACTTGCCTTTGGTGACTGAGAGAAAAAGAGATTAGACTTTTCAGATATTCCGTTTGCCATACGGGGTCCTTAAGAGGGACAGTTACTGCATTCGATATGTTTCGGTCCGGACCGAAAATTTTCAAACGAGCGCCATATTCATTACGTTCGGCGCGCGGTTCCTTCGGATGTTTATATGTTTTGTTTAAATGCTCGAGCTCGAGGTGATGCTGTCCGACTGCCATCCGGGTAATCACACCGCTCTCCGTCACATTGGCGCACCATTTAACAATCAGTGTAGAATTCAGTGCTATGACATTCGATACAGAGTTGCGCTCAGCATTCTGTTGTAATTGAAACTGTTGCGCGTCATTTGCACTTTCATTCACGTCCAGCGGTTGAATATGACGTCTCTGTACAAAATTAATAAACGGATAACTGTCGGTCAATGTCTCGCCGCCTTCGTTGAGAGTTAAGGACACGCTTGAAATAATTGACTCGCCGTCAGCCTTTCTCTTCTTCAGCTTCAGCATCAGATGAAATATCTCTTGAGGTTGTACCTTTATACTTGACGGCAGAACCGAGGAGTGAAACGCTGACCATACAGCACTCTGAAGTGATACTTCTGATAAGATAATCTCATTTATGGATGGATCGTGAACTTGATTGGTATTCTTAACGGACATGATTAAATTTAACGTCGGCGAGTCGTCCTTGAACAATCTGCTTCTGGCGGCAACCGCGGTAATTTGTATCGAGTCCAACACCGTTAATTGCCAAGTGTGGCGGCACAAACGGTGTTTTAAAGTAGCTTTCGATTCGACGCTTTCGTAGTAGAAGAGCAGATCTAATCTGTAAGTGCCTTTTATGTGGGGTGCTTGCACCCAAAGTGGCATTTTGTGAGTCTCGCCCACATTCAACATACCATTTTTGGAGACTGGTAATGTCACCATTGTGACTAACTTACTGCTTTTCTTTGCAATTAAAATATCTGCAAATAAAATATTGTTACATTTAGAAATCAAAGCCTTAAACGGTCTAGCGGGATCTTAATGCTTGTATGATTCTTATGTGAATTTATATACATGTGTAATCCAGAAACGCGCGCCGAAATGATTTTTCGGTCTTGAAACGCTAACTCTATTAAACCACCACAGTAATATCACGAATTAAATTGATTAGTAATTTAACAAATTTTTGCTTATTCGCATCTTCGAAACGATCTTAATAATGTTAAATGACATGTTAAAATCTGTAAATAATTAATTCTTATTGCGAAAAATATTACCTCGGCCAGGAGTCGAACCTGAATCTATTGCATGCCGTGCGAGCGTTCTAAGCCTTTAGACTACCGAGGCTAGCAGCCTCAGGACGCACGGAATGCAAGAGATCCGGGTTCGACTCCCGGCCGAGGTATATTTTTCGTAATAAGAATTAATTATTTACAGATTTTAATATGTCA